TACGAAAATATTGTAGACTTTGCGGGAGAATCTAATCTGGCGCTCGCCAACGAATTTGTATTATACAGTTATTTCTCAACAATCAAAATAAAAAATGAATACCTTAAATACTAAGCAAAACATGAATAGCACATTTTTTGAATTGATAATTATATTAACGGTAACATCATTTTTAATTAAATGATACATACAAGTTTGAAAACTTAATTAAAAGTCCCATATTCCATGTTTTTGATTATTTTAAATTCATTGTACTGCATTTGTCGATGCTCTCTTAAAAAAAATCTCATACCCGAAACTATGAAAAAAAATAATATTGTATTCAAAGGATTTCACTTAAATAGATATAACTTAAGTTATTTTAGTGAAACATAAAAAAATGAAAATGTTATGCAATATACTAATTCAAAATAATTTATAAGTGGTCCCAAATAATTACGAAATTTTAAAAAAAAGTGGTTCCACAAGAGAAACCACCGAAAATACGGCTGCAATTAAAAATAAAAAAATTATTTTTTCTACTTAGTAAAATTTTTGACTGTGTATAATTGTTTATATTGCTTTTGTATTACTTAAACAAAAGTTTTTCAAATTTTAACAACATTGACATAACAAATATCAATACGAAAGTTATTTTTTTCTTTAAAGTGATATCAAAAGACCAGTACTATATTACACAGTTAAAGTCCTTATCTTTTTATAAGTTGAAAATTTGTTTAATTTTTTGAACTAGGAAGTAGGAAATTTTAGTCATTTTAATACCCGCATAATTGTTGCATATTTTTATCAATTGAAATTTATTTTATATTATAATACCAAGTAAATTTAAAATACGTAAAAAATATAATTACATATTATTAGCAAAAAGTCTGTCATGTCCAAATGTTCAAATTTAAAATAAAAATATTTTGATATAGACATAGAAAAAATTGTTTAATTATTATTAATTAATTATATAATAATTAAATATTTATACAGTTATTTTTATTCTTAGAAAACGTCAACAAATTCACTTGCCTCTTTTGTTCAAGGAGTCAATTATATCAAAATTATTTTTAAATAATAAATTAACAACATTAGTAGATAGTTATTAGAACTTATAAACAAAGATAAATATTAAAATTTAAGCTTGATTCTAATAATAATATGTAGGTAGGTAGGTAGGTATATAGGTAATAGGATTGTTAATTAAGTTTAATAAATTTGAGCGTATTTTTTTAATATATTTTGAACTTTTTTATTCACATTTTATCAATTTACATACTTAACCAATAATATTTCTCCATTCTTTTATTTATTTTGAATTATGTAATATTTAGTAATCACACATTGATATTACTTACTAAATACAATTATTTAGTTACGAGTTCTTGTACTTGTAATAACAAGAAAACAAATGACAAAATAAAATAAATATAAAGCTAAAAATATAATAAAAAGAAGTGGCCAGACAAATACAAAGGACACAAGCCTTGGATGTAAGTCCGGTGTTAATAATTATTGAATATACTTGTTCTCACATTATTACATTCCTCCTGTTCTTCGGAGGGTTCTCGAGGTCTTGTATTCGAGAATGTAATCAAGCACACCGTTACGTAAATTAGATAGTAAAAGAACCTGTACTAACAATAGGTATTAACACCGGACTTACATCCAAGGCTTGTGTCCTTTGTGTTTGTCAGACCTTCTACTTTTTACAAAATTTTTATATTTATTTTAATTTATCATATTTTCTTGTTATTACATACCTATGTATTAATTTTATATTTTTTTATGGTGTAAATTTGACAAAAAATGAATTTAAATATTTAATACATTAATATGAAGTGGCATCAAGCCAAAATTTAAATCGTTAAGTGTGGGCTGAACACATTTAATTGTATGTTGAGTCAAAGTTCTCAAAATATTAAAATATGAGCAGTGGCCAGTTAAAAATTTAACAGAAAACGTACAAAACATTTTGTTATGCATATTTTGTAAAAAGAATCAAAGATATGTGGTAGGTGTGTGTACCATTAGAATAGAAACAAAAATAGTTTCATTCATAACAGAATGATACTAATAATATAGGTACATTGATTACAAATACATGGATATTGAAAAAAATAAAAACACAATAAAACTAAATACTAATTATACTTGTAATCCTAGACTTACAAAAACTTAAATAGAATAACACAAGATTATTAACTAAATTATCTTAACAGTTTATCTTAAATATATTTGTATTACGTTATCGAACGACCAACTTTATGAAAACACAATTACTATAGACTTAAAACGTACTTTTAATCGAAAGGTAGTATTATAGCCATGGTAAAGGCCACCTTGTAACCTATGTAATTAAATAATGAAGGCAGGCATTGATCATCTGTGAAAATAGAAAAATAATAGTGTTTTAAAAATAATATATTGTCGTCTAAAATCACAAAAAATGCTCAAAAGAAATTAATTTATTATCCATTAAATTTTCTTAAAAATAATATTGTTTTTTACCACGATAAAAAAAATCGCTGATAATTTGGATAGGTTGTTACGGAATAAATACCAACGCATCAAAAAGGTCTTTTTCAAGTCCAACAATTCGACCGATATAATAAGTGAGTAAAACACACATAACATAGGAAACACGCCTATAGAAGTATATTTTAAACAAGGATATCTCAATGTTATGACAAATAAAAAACACATCGACTATATCGGTGCACTTTTACGGAATAGTCAGTCCACTTCAATTCTTCAACCTGTCAACATCTATAGCAAAACCAAGCCCAGAACCAAATAATAGAAAACTCGGACCATACTACGACCCTGTCGATACACGACGACTAAATGCCGTCCTGCACGACGATCAATCCACGAGGCTGCCGCACCACGGTAGAGTCTGACTACGACAATATCGTCATCACTCCACGGCGACTAAGAAGTATATCGTGAACACCGAGGCGCTTTAGCAACGTGCTGAACCACAACGACCATCGAGACGGTCACATTAGAGCAACTCGACCGTAATTATCACCGCCGGTCTCCTACATCGCGACGTTCCATGGCGGACCTGACTCGTATCGACCCACAAACGTATAAACGGTCACCGAGGAGCTGTAGCGAGAACCGTGTCGACCGACAATCAACATTCAACGTAACCTACGACCAATCATATCGATCGTACGATATCATTGGTCCACAGCAACCTCGGAATCATCAAACGCCCGAACAGCAACCAATTATAACCGGCCGACAGACTAAAAGTACTCGATTCAACACTAGCGTTGATCGTGAGGAACAACCAAAGACAAGTTAAGCAATCGATCGAAAAACGATCATTTCGCGGACCAAGAGCGAACCCACGGCCGAGGATAGACCTACGATCCGGACATCGAACGACAACCAAGCGCCGTCTCCAAAATTGCCCTTCTTGAAGCGACCACGTCCGATATGACTCCTCAGCGCACCTGTCTAGGCTACGCTTTTCCGGTCGAGCCAATTGCTTAAGCGGGCCCGACGAGATAAGACTCGATCCCACCCCTTTAATATTTTATCGATACCATATAACGACATTTCTATTACTGTATAGGGTCCATAAGTAATACGTGGTCACTTAACCCTATACCTATATAAATATATATATATATAATACAACAAGTATTTACAGCATAAATAACTAGTGTACAGACTTCATTCACAATCAACACACGTATTTAGTATGCCGTATTAGGGTACCAAGAGTCTATAGTACGAATCTAAAAAACAATAAACTAACAAACACCAAAATGCACTAATTTTAAGAAATGTAAAACAATTAAAACAACAAATTACAATATGAAATCAAAAGTCTCGAGTGTGAAAAGTAAATAATTATGAAAAATCAGATACAATTGAAAAATGTTTAAACATTTTTACAATAAAGCTAATGTAAATTTTAAATTAAAATGCTCTGTATTGATCTTTTGGTCAGTTAATTTATACCGATACCTATTGTTTTTTTTTACATTAATTGTGTTTTTATTTCATCTTATAAAACAAATATAGTATTTATTTCATATTTAACTCATAATTATTAATAACTAGTACATATTATGTAATCGAATTTAAAATAATCAAAGTTCAACAAAATCGCTGGTATCTATAAGCTACCACTTAAATCAAAATCAATTAATATTTTAAAATTTTACCTGTAGAATACAAACATTATTATTAAATTGTATTTATGGACTATTGAGTATTGCATAGAAGTGTTCAAGTTGAGAAAAAGGTATAGGGCGAGATGGCTATTTTTTTAATAAATGCTATAGAAATATCAAGAAAAAAAATTCTGAAAACTATTAAAAATATTCAAAAAATAATATTCTAATACTTTTAAATGATAATTTTAAAAAATCATAATTAATATTTTAACTTGAAAATGTAACATTATTATTCATATATATATATATACCTACACAAAAAATAAATATAGCTATTTCATTAAAAACAAAACATATTTAATATTTTATGAATAATACATTACATAATATTCAAATTTGACGAAGTAGTACAATAGTACAGCTATTTTTTTAAATAATACATTAATACCTCAAATTAACACAAGATATACATACATATAGATAGATGTGAAGTTATTAATTGAAATTTTATGAGGACATCCTTTAGAAATTCAGAAATCTTCTGGGGCTATCAACATTAAAAATATTAAATGTACCTACACATTTATCCAAAGAATATCAAGAAATGTTTATTTCTAAAACCTTGTTCTATTGAGGTAACCACATAATTATTTTAATTATACCGTATAATTATTACTTACCAATAGTTTTAGAATTTAAAATATTCATATTAACGAATTCGTCATTGAAAGTATTTGAACATTTTGAGCGTTAAGTACTTCTATTTCGATTGATCGTTACCATTCTTAAAAAATATATATATTTAAATAAACTCAATTATGTTATTTATACAACTATTTATGTAATATTTTGATATAATGGTATAATAATAATATTTTATACTTTCGATTCATTTTGGATGGCAAAATCAGTATTTTGATCGAATTTTCTGAGTAGTACATATTCAATAAGAATATTTTGATGTTCAATTATCCGATTGACCTAAGAAAAACATAATTATTTTTAATATCTTTTAGAAAAATATCGAAGAATAGCAATAAAATCCGCAATATTTACCCAACTATTTTTATTAAAACTTTCGATTTTCTCAAACTTCCGCTTTTCGAGTCTGTGTTTTATTATATGTGATTCCATTTCCTCTAACGAATCGCTGATCGAGAAACATTCCAAACATTTCCATCTGCAGAAAACGAAAATATTGTTAATTAACAAAATTACTATGAATGAGTAAGCAAAAAATAACGAAGTTACTTACAGTTTGCAATTAATTTCTTTTAACAAGTGTTCGCAGAAAGATTGTTCTTCCTCGGTTATAAACACATTGCATACTGGACATACGTATTTGGCAATACACTGTATCATTGTCAAATAATCGTTAGGATAGTCGGAAGGGTTGCTGAGTATTTTTTTTTGAACTTCTGATACTACGATCGATTTGGCGGATTTCGAACAAGTGGTAGTTGAAATTTCTTTAGATCCAGGAATTATGATTGTTGATTCAGCGACACTGTTTAAAGTTTCCGAAACATTTAGCATATTGCATTGTGTACGCATATCGTATTCACCAACATTTGTTTGTTTATTAAGTGGTTGCAGTTCTTTACCTGAACTAACCTAAAAAATTGTTTTTTATTTTTGAAAAGCAGTTAAAAATTTACTATATTATGTAGGTGAGAATTTTTCATTTATTAATATATTATTTTCACACATTTTATCTGGCAGCTATATAAGGACTTACTTTATCAACATGTTTGTTCAAGTAATTAACTGGCGAATATGGATGATTCAATTTTAAATGTTTTTTAAATACGTCATAATCACTGTAATCAATTAAACATATAGAGCATTTAAACGTGTTTAATGTGTTATGAATCTTTGACATGTGTGCAGCAATCCCAGTTTTAGTATACTTGACATCATAGCCACATAATTTACATATCCATTTAGATATTTGTTGATCTATTACAAATATCAGAAAATAATTTAAAGATATTGGTAAAATTGTACATAATTGTACATTTAAAATAAAATTTGTACATACAAATTAACCACAGAATAAAATTTATACAAACCCAAAGGTATGATATTTTGTATAGGTTTTTGTTTTCTAATCGCAATTATATTGAATTCATTTTCGCCTTCTATAAAAGATGAATGTTTTCTTTTCATGTGTGCTTTTATTTTTTCACGTTTAAAATGAATGAAACTACAATACTGACAAAAGTATAAGTTTTCGGCATGATGATTAAAGTGCCACTTCAATTCTCTGAAGTTGACGAGCTTAATCTGTATTGGTTTACAATGAGGACATCTGAAAAAATTGATGAAATAATGTATTGTAACATAAATACACGTTTATTAAGTAATATGATGATATTTATAGTAACATAATTATACTTACATAAAAAGCCACATAATATTATGATGATTCAATATATGAGTTTTCAGTATTTCTATATTCAAACCTGTGAAATTACACCCATAGAATGCGCATTTAAAACGTTTTCTTTTTGAGACGAACTGAGGAATATTTTCAAATGGTTTATCTTGATTGAATGAAGATATTGTAGTAATTGATGTTGCTATTTGAAAATCTTTATTATTTTTATCTGATTTCGCCTAAAAATATTATTGTTATAATTTTTGAATTAAATACAAAGAAAACAAATTTAATTGATGAATTAACTACTTATTTAGAAAATAATTAATAAATAAGTAGTTTTTAAGTGTGAATATTACCTTTTCATTTTGTTGAACATCAAATAAACTAGTGAATGAACTGATCATATTCATAGACGTAAATACAGAATTGGAATTACATGAAATAGATTTAAAAATGTTCTCAGTTGAGTCTTTTGGTTCTACTCTATGTTTCTTAATGTGTGCCATTAGATTAGATCGCACCTTAGTTTGATAATCGCAAAATAAACATCTCATCGGTTCCAAGAAATATTCTGTTTCTGGAATGCCATCAATATTTTCTGAAGAAAAATACTTTTCTATTGTAGTGCCCAGAATAGTATCATTCGACATGTATGGGTTAGATGTTTTTTTGTTGCTTATATTCTATAGTATGTAATAAAAATATTAAAAAAAAAAAATCAATTAACTAATATATTATATCGAATAGATGATTTCAATCGTCTAAAATAAGGGCACGCTTTTTAAGAAATCAGATCATTTCATACAATAATAAATAGAAAACTTATTTCAACTGAGCAATAAGTTTTTAATTACCACGCACCATTGCAAGAAATGCATTGCATTAATATTTATACGTTACATTTTAATTTTTAATTCAATAATAAATCATAGTAAACATTACTAAGATAAGGCCGATAAGGGTTAGGTTGTTGATTTACAAGGGTTTCTATTATACTATACTGCATTAAGTATATTAAATTTATGTTATAACTAGTAATTTCTTAATTCGGTAGATTTAGCTGCAGATCTTTTATAATTAAGTTTTTTTACATTACTAATCAGGTTATATACTTTTGTCCGACTCTTTTTAAGGTAATTAATCCTTATTTCTTCCACGATGTTAACATTTATTTTTAGTTTAACTGAAGTGATAAAGGCCATTGTTATTTAGTATTTCTCACAAGTTTTATTATGTTATTATATATTAACACAATTATAAAACTGTTTACAAAAGTACAAATATATTGTAATGAGAAAAATAAACTTAAAATTCAAAGTTTCGAAAACTGGAAAGTCGCTTTACTATATGATAGATGTTGAATGTATCTTTTAATTGAGCAATTTACTGTAAAGGATTTATTAAATTTGAATTCAATGATAAATCATAGAATACAATGAAAATTAATTCTGAGTGTAGATGATCTGACGGCCTAAATTTTTAAGTATTGTATATACTTTTTTCTTAAAATATAAACATCTAAATAAACATACATAACTATACAACCAATTCATTTATATGTCATCTCAGAATCTAATACTTATGAGAAACTTTGGTTTTTTAAATTAAATATTTTGACTTAGAAACAATGGTTATTAAAAAAAGTATTTTTAAACATAAAACAATTTCAGAAAATTCTAACATAGAATAGTAAATATTTTATTAAAAAAATGCATGTATTTATGATAATTTTTCTAATCAAAGTTAAAAATCTAAACAAAATTGATTTTTTCAATATTTTACATTAAACGAATATCCTCATTTCCTGCTGTTTTTTGTCTTCAATTTTTCAGGTTTTTTCGATTAATAAAAAAAAATACTTTCCGATTTTTGTCTTTTCACTAAATTATTATTTAACTCTAATTTTGATAGATATAAAAAAACATCAAATTTTATAACAGAAACCACTTTCAATGTTGAAAATGAAAGCAAAATTTCTGGATCAAAACTTGAAGATAAATTTAAAAAAATTACAATAAATATTTACGCTTTATTGTTTATACATATACTCTTCAAAATTCTAAGAATACAAAAAAAATAAATATACTTACGTTGCAACTATCACTGGAATGTTTTCTTTTTAAGATTTTGTGTTTTTCTCTTGATTTAACCTTACTACGTCCAGTATGCTGTTCAGGCGTATTCAAAGTATTTGGTAATGCAGTTAATTGAGAATCATTGTATTTGTTATCAACTTTAAAACGTTTCTTGTGAACAGTAGTAGTACTATCATAATCATCCGTTAAAACTATACAATCATTAGATCGTTTTTTTGTTTTCGAAGATTTATCCTGGCATACGAGAAATCTGTCTTTCTCAATATCCGTCGCATTAATATCTACAGGCACGAACTCGAGGTTGGAAATGTTATGTTCTTTTCTTACGTGCCTCTTGACAATGTCACTAGATGGTAATTCCAAGTTACAAAAAGTGCACGTAAAACGGTTTAGTCTAAGTCGTTTTGGAAGTTTGTCAGCCTCATATGACGAATTCCATACCGTGTCAGACTGTGCTATACTAAAAGTACTCTCTTTAGGACTTTCTATTGGACAGTAATTCAAGCGATTTTCGGACGAATGTATATTTTGGGTGACTTTATCTGAAATACAAAAAGTTAAAATAATTTCTAAGTTCAGTTATTTCGTGTTGTTGATGTTAAACTTCACAAAGTCGAATTACTAGGCGTAAATAGGGTATTAAATCAATGGAATTAACAATTAAAAATATTTCATAGTAAATTAACGTGTGTAGCTTTGTTTGCTTTGCTAATAACTAGGCCACGGAACTTGATGCATTTGCATCTTTTTTCTAATGCGTTTATACGAGACTTGTTTTTACAGAAATGTGACTTATATTATGTAAAATGAAATGGAACCATTTTTGTTTTGCATTTTTCAGTAATTTTTGGTTATACGGTAATTTTTTACTAATATTTGCGCATTTTTTTATATTTTTCTTTTATATTAGTTGACAAAACTAAATATTTGAAATAACTAACGTATTTTATAGCCCAATCCTTCAATTACTTTTCTAAAAATGCCGTTTTCTTATTTGTGTCTATAATTATTTTGTATTACTGATATAATTTCTTATCTTCGTTTTAAATTTAATTTAGGCCCTAGTCTATAAAAAAAAGCATATTTACTTTATAAAAATATTAGCATTGTTTAAATTTAGATAAATAAAATAATAAGTGAATGATTAAAAAATATTAATTTAAAAACGATAATTTTTTGGTGATTTATTATTAAAAAACGTAATATTTGAAAATGTTATTATTTTTAGGATAATTTTTTGATATTTATTAATCATTTTAATACCTTTTTTTGTATGCATTTTTTAAAGATTTTCAGGTCATCAAATTCCAGGCTCTACTAATACAATTTTACAAAAATGTTTCTAAAAAAATTAATACATTATAATATATTTTATTATCTATTAATAATTACAGTATTAAACTGATTTTCTAGTTAGACATTGCAACAATCATATGAGATTTTAAATTATAATATTACACATCAAAATGTTTTATTTTATTTACTATTAAGTAAAACCTAAACTTATACAGAATTATTCTCACAACATTGTTGATCAAAGTTTTCAATATTTTTCGTCAGAAAATTATCATTTACATGTATAGTTAATCGTTAATATTTTTATAATATGCAGTCTAGTATTATATATACACATATTATTTATTGAAATATCCAAGCATAACTATAGAATAGTTGAAATAAATTCTATGATAAATTAGTAGATAAGTTAGTAACCTAACCTAAGCCACCCAAGCTCCGCCTTATTTGCGCCTAAAAATTCTATCAAACTTAACTAAGCGTACCAATAGTTTTAATGGAGATCAACTTATTCAGTATTGCACTCTTAGTTACATATTTTTTAGACAGGTCGATTGGTTTTTCGGATGAATGAGTTTCTAAGCTATTTCCACTAATTTGTATCTCAAAATTATTTATAAGATTATCGTTTGACAATTCTGATGGTTTTTTTTTTTCATTCACGATTGGAGCTATGACATTTTGAATTTGTTGTGTATCTTGTGAAACTTTTTGTTTTACTTCGTCAGATAATGTAACCTCATTTTTTTTTTTATCAATAGCTGTTGATGTGTTTCTCGACGACTGTGCAATTTTTTTAAAAATTTTATTTAATAGTTGAGCACTATTGTCAACTTCATCTATTTTAGTATTTGTAAACATATCATCGGGATCCATTTGACGTGTATCATTCATCTCTTTAGTTAGAGATTCTTTTATACTAATTTTTTTTATTAAATTTGTACCCACTACTTCTATTATTTCATCGGGTACATATTTTTTAATATTTAAAATGTTAAGATTTTTTATTTTTCTTTTATCCTATAATAAATAATAATAAAAACATATTAATAATAATTTTCATTTTATACTTATTACTTTTATAAAATATAAACTTTATTCTTTAATAAATGAACTTACACAAACATCGTTTTTCGGAGAACGTTCCAAACATAAAGGTTCATATTCAAAATGTTCCATCGCCAAGTGAATTATTATGACTTCAATACATTCAGCACCAAACAAACAGAAAATACATTGATATTTGTTGATTTTGTGCAAATTAAAATGCTAAAAAAAAAATGAAATCATAATAATATTGATTAGGAATAGAAACGTAAATTATAATAGGTATTATTAAAGCTGGATATCATTAATTTAATAAGTTAAAAGTCAAATTAATTCCAACTCATAAATTTAACTTAATATTTTGATGTTATTAATAATTTAAGATTAACTTATTTATCTCTTTGTTAACTTAAAATCATCTTATAATTTTTTAATATTTGCATATTATCTAATATTATCCGAAAAATAATTTTTTTTAGATATAGTGTTTACAGTTTATTTTAAGTTCATTGAATATAGACAACATAATAATTAAAAAATATAGTATTTACGACGAATTTTGTATTTTATGTATTCATAAATATTAATTACTAATAATATATAGGGACAGAAATAGTTGTCCATAAAAAGACATTAATTTATAGTCTTGGGCCCAGGAGTTTTATTTCTAATATTTGTTAGTTATAAATACGATTATCATGGCAAATAACTATTTAAACTTAAAATAATTATTATAATAGCACCTAAATTAACTATAATATAATACATTTTTAAATTTTTTTTCATTTTTCACTCATTTTGCTGCTACAGTATTATTTAGTATTCACTACTTACTTTCTGCGATCGGCTAGTCTACTAAAAATTTAGTTATTTTAAATAAACTATTTACCTAAAGTTTGTGTAAGTTAATTAAGTAAATCACTATGTAATTGTATTAATTATAACAAATACATTATGTTCATCATGCAAAAGATATATTCTCTTATAAATTTATAATTAAACTAACTTAACTGAGTTAAAAAATGTCATCGGCTTGTCCAGCCTTAATTATTACCTAAGTATATGATTTACTCATTCGTAGAAAGACTTGAAAATGTAAATGACATAAAGGGACATGTCTTAGATGTTAATAGAAAATTTAAAATTAAATAGTTTTAATATAGATTATAATGATTAACCTTAATATTAAGTAAAACGTAAAAATTTTTGATTAAATCAGTAACATAAATTTTAATTATAACATACCTCGAGTACTTATATTTAATATTATGTTATAATGTGTAAGGTAGAATTCCATCAATGGACGGTTTTCTCCACTCTCATGTATGTGTCGTATCCATATCGCGTAATTCTGCGTTTCACGAAATGGACAAAGTTTATACCCATTTCGCGTAATTCTGCTACCTAGACAACATTGCACGAAATTAATGTAACATTACAGAACTAGTTCTGTCATCTTGACAAACACTTAGCGTAAAAATATTTATAATTATGTGTAGATTTATCATAACTATATTATAAACTGTGTTCTATGTGAAACGAATTAAGTCAAAGTAACTATTACTATAATATTTAGTGTTTTAGATTATATAGAATCATTAAGATATTTATAATCAGTATTAATAATTCTGTACTATATTCAAAATGATAAAAAATATAACTATAAAAAATTATCGTTACGCTAAGTGTTTGTCCATATGACGGAACTAGTTCCATAATGTGTAGTTTAGGTAGGTATACATTTCATGAAATATTTTCCAGATAGCGGAATTACGTGAAGTGGAAAAAAAAGCATTTTAATTTCGTGAAACATACAATTACGCGATATGGGTGTAACATACGCATATTTTAACTAATTAATTTAATTTATATTAGTATACAATTTTATACTTTTAATCTAATATTGCATACATTTCTAAATAAAAAAAAAAATACAAGACTCATGCAGAGGATTAAAAGTGTGTTTAAAAAAAAAAAAAATTTATTAAATTATAATATTTTAAATCAATTAGATAATATAAACAAATCACACGCTTACTTTAACAAATATTTTCGGATTGGACGAAACAAATCCATTGTCATTATTTTTAGCACAAAGGTCACAAAAGAATTGGTCACAATGTACATGGTCCAGTCTCAAATGAGATAAAAAATCACTATTGATATAAGACGAAAAAGTACAGCATCCTAAATAAGTTAAAACAAGGTTTAAGTTTAATCTGTAAGAAAATATTGATCTTCATCAAGAATTCTGGCGAAAAATTTTAACATTATTACACAATGTACAACAAAGAATCTTAAAGCATTATATAATATAATATAAATAAATATAATAATAAGACCTACTAAGTTAGTAAGCTAATGTAGGGTAATAGAATAAATTCATGAAAAAAAAATTAACCAATATTATCATAGAATAATAAAATTAAATCAGTTACAATAATAAATAGACAGATATATCAGTCTTGAACTATATTACAATAAAGGTTTATTGAAAATTTGAATAATCAAACGAAACATTTTGTGAAATCATTAAATTTATTGGCTCTTTTACTCTGTTTATTGACATCAAATGTAGACAATCATTTTACATAAAAATAAATATTTCACACAAAAATCAAAATGATTGAATAATTTGTTATTATAATATTACTTATTTACCTAAGAAATGTATAGGTAAAATTAATAAATTTCGACGATTTATATTGGTTAATATTTCTTTCAAATCAATGTAATTGTAAAAAAAAAAATATAGCAACTCCGTGATAGCAATATCACACTAATACCTTAAGCTCTAAATTTTCATATAAAACTTTCACAAGATTTTATAATTATTTTGTAACGAAATGTAATGTAACCACACTAACTCTTTTTTATAACTTTTATAATGTACAGGAATTATTGTCTTTATTTTAAATTAATTGTAAATACCTTTACTATAATCGTGCATGATATGACTATGCTAATAAAAGTCTTAAAAAAATTAATTCTGTTTACTATAATATGTTATTTATTTTTAAAACTATAGACGAGGCTGAAAGTTTCCATAATACATGTAACGCAGTTTAATAATGCTCATCTACCGATATTTGTTGTTATAACTACCCTTATATAAACTCAGGCAGAAACATTTACCAAATTATCTCTAAATATTCAAAATGAATAATTAAACCAAAATCGAAGGAAGAGTTACAAAAAATTGAATTTATTTGTAAGCAACACTAAGATTATGTAAATAATAAATCACCAGAAAATATACTAAAGTATTTGGCCATAGTTGGAAATAGGTATCGAGGCTTTAAAATATTTGTATCTGTATTTTAATATTAAAAAAAATTATGATAAAACTTAGTTTTTGTTTAATAAAAATTTGGCAATGTCGCACCCAATTTCACGCCCATAATAAATACCACAATAAATACCCTTTGAATAGTCAAAATCATGTCCTTTGTTATTCTGGCATTGCGCGCAATCGTACTCCGCCGGAAATTAATAATTCTAATTTGTTAATACAGGGTGTTAGAGTGACGTCATGCTGGTACTCAGTTAATTTAAAACAAATTTTACGGGGTTCTTAAATTTTAGGCTATATTTGGTTACAAAATGGTCACGAGATTTTATAAAAATTCTAAGTCAAAGAAATAATCGGGTTACACGCGTGATGTCACGATAAGACAGTCAAACTTAAAGTGATCTTTAACAAATTTCAGGTCAGTCAGAATTCTCTAATTTTGAGTTACATATTTGGTTACAAAATGGTAACAAATTTTTGTGAGTTATTAAATTAAAAAAAAAATTTAATAATACCGGATACTGGGATAACGTCACCTCAGAATTTTAAATTAAAAATTTAAATTTTAAGGTTCCTTGTAAATTACAAAATAATACAAAATCATGTAAAGGTTTTAAGTAAAAATTTAAAAAGTGAAACGACGCGACGTAGTTTCCAATGATTTTTTTCTACTGATGAAATCTTAAATCGAATTCTGGTTGCAGTATCTTTTGTTGAAATGAAAATGTTAAGCAACAGGTATTTTATTTTATACTAAAATATTATATGCTTTAATTTCAGCACTTTTTTGCTGTCACTATATTTTTAGAAATTTTTTTACGACTAAGCAAAAACTACAACAGATCTACTATGAAAATCGATTTCACCGACTACCAGAAGAAAACGTGCCTAAATGTATCTAAAATAATATTTCTATTTAGTAGTTAGTTATGAATAAAATACTTTTAAACTAAAATAATTGTTTTAAAATGAGTTGAATTAAAACTATTTCACAAAGCATAGATTAATAATGAAATTTAATAATTGTACATAAATTATATTTTAAAATACATTTCCGATACTTACCAATGTTGCAAACATAACGTGGCACGAATTTTTTGAAGTCAACCGCCTTCACTATTTCTTTCCGTTCACCTCGGCGATTCTTGAGTTTTAATATTGATGGTTTTTGATCATTATGAAATACATACTGAACAATAATAATAATAAATCATGACAGTTTTATATTCTATTGAAACTCGTGACCTTTATGGTCAGTATGACAATAATCGTAAGTAAAAGAAAAATTCAGTGTACCGTTATAACAAAAATATCTCTGAAAAAATATCTTTAGAAAATAACCTAACCTATAAAAAATTATCTCTTGTAACATAATATACCTGGAATAATCGTTTATTGAAAAATTCATACAAAAAAAATACTATCTTAGACGAATTTGTTATTGAAAATCAAGAACTTTTATGTAAATACTTTTAAAATTTGAAAAAACTATACGTCACGCGTCAGAATGTTTTTAATTATATTATTTTATTTAGATATTGATTATTAAAATAAAATTATTAAACGTTTATTTTAATATTTTTTTTTTCTACAAAAATTAACTGAATTAATTGAAAGATTTAAAAATAGAAAAATACAGGTATATACACATTCAATAAAAATATTATAATTTGGCTATGTACAAATGAATATTAATTATTATGTATTAATTTATTTAAAATGTGTGAAAATTGTAATGATAAAAATGCTATTTGTTATATTTTTAAATTAAGTAAAAAAAAATAATATAATTTTAAACAAATTTAATACTTTTTGATATAATGAGTCAAGAAAATAGTATTTATTGTCAAATTATAATATAAAATAAAATCAGAAAAAATATATTTAAAAACTTAGAAATATTCCTATAAAAATATACATTCTCCCACACCCCCTCTGTCCAGTGAGGGAGAAGATAATTTTAGACAATAAATAATTTTTTTCTTATCCATTAGTATGCATATACATCAGAATAAATTAGCTTTTGTGAGTTCAATAAGTGAATGAGCCCAATAAACAAAAACTATTGTATTTCATTAAAAACCGTTAATATTTTACAAATTTGTATTTATTTTTATTCTTCTATATAAAATTAAGTGAGTATTAGGTACAAAGTTCTAAAATTTAACGATACTTAAATGTGACATTAAAATTATTGTTAAATGAATTAAGGTTTAAAATTACGTTAAATGCCTCAATAGCATGAAACCTATGTTCATTAAATATTTTTCAATTGCCAGCTTGTACAAGCAGGGTTGGACTAGCTTTATAACACGGCCTGGGCAAAATAATTTCGAACGGCCTTAATGAAACTTTAATAAGTACTCCTAATCAAACGTTTGTTTACTAAAAATGTATCTTCATAACTCAATAAACAATATATACATAGGTACATTTGAATGTTTTTAGATTTAATGTTATACTTTTAATAAATCAAATTTACGCACAATATAATAACAAGCGTCAATAACTTATTTATTTTATTTTAATTCAAAAAAATGTAACAATAAATATATTAATACAACATAGAAAATAATTAAACTTAACTTTCCTAAACATAACGCATAAATTCATTTTTAACCAGTACTTGGCTTCTTTATTCATATATAATTAATATATTTTTTTATTTTAAAGAAAAGGAAAAACATAAAAAAATGTATATTTATTCATTTTATACTACTAATATACTTTTTAATACTGAACTTATGGACATAAATTAATAACAGAATTATGAGATTATAATACGTAAAGAAGGAGAAAAATAATGTATTTATTCTAACTATTATTTATTTATGTATAGTAGGTAATAGCTGGTAAACGCAAATTTTATATTATATATTTATGCATATGAGTAGGCAATAGGCTTATATAAACAAGTCTCATACGGAAAAAATTTCCCGACTACCATTTTTTTCCACATTATATTCATATAAATATAAGTCATTATCATTATCATTTATCATGATATTATATTGTTTGACTGTATGAAACTATTCAAATATAATATACAATGATTAGTATTTAAAAATTAAAATATTAAAGACTGCATTTATATTTTGTATTACATTGATATAATAACCTACCTATTAAGATGAATATTTTATAGATAAAAAAAAAAAAAAAACGATTTAATTTAAATATGTTTATACATTTCAGTTTTATTGAGTTAGAAACTTAGAACATATTATATTACTAAAATAATTACTTACCAGTAATTGAATAATAATTGATTTGAAATCGACAGAAACGTCAGAAAATTGGGAACTGGGCACAGACTTATAATATTGAACGTCTAAACTATTGAAGTTTTAAAATAAAACTGTTATAAATCTTATAAAAAATATTATTATTATTGAAAAACAATTTCTTTATCGCATTAAGAGGACGTCGTACCCGCATATGTTGTCTCCGTCTTACAAATGCGTAACATGGCAAATAGTACTCTCAGAAGATCACGTTTAGCTCCTTCAGCTTGAAAATTAGAATGAATTGACCTCTTTTGAAATTTAAAAGTGAGATTATTATCTAGGACATCTTATAGGCTTTTTATTATATTTTAATTTTAAAGCGAGTTATGTGTGTTTTAAGACGTGCAAGCAATTTACAATTTTAAAATACTCATAACTTGCTTTAAAATTAAAATATAATAAAAAGCCTATGAGATGCCCTAGATAATAAATCTCACTTTTAAATTTCAAAAGAGGTCAATTCATTCTAATTTTCAAGCTGAAGGAGCTAAACGTGATTTTCTGAGAGTACTATTTGCCATGTTACGCATTTGTAAGACGGAGACAACATATGCGGGTACGACGTCCTCTTAACGCGCATGGTACAGTCGGTACGACTACCTATCATATTATACACTATGTCTTCTTTTGTTTTCAAATTTCCATAGTTGTTCTATTTATAAATAATATGACAAAACCATTATTATCAATCAGCCTATCGCGATGTTAAATATGTTCAATCTTTACACTACTGTATAGTAGTATAATATAGTTATCTAATTCCGTGTCACCGCATACAATAAGTCAATAAGTGACGTCACGCTACAGTGCGATATTTTTGTTTTATTATAATATTAGAAGATTTATTAGACGTATTAAATTAAAAACAAAACAATTTGAGTGGTCTTTTGTAAATAAAATTACAGCGGCCCCCGGGGCATGCCCCGATACCCCGGTGGCCTAGTCCAACCCTGTGTGCAAGGCTAATCAAGAATTTTTACTATAAGAAAGATATCTAATTTCAGAGATATCTTTAAAAAATTAAAAGAGTACTTTTAGGTTAAATATTTTAACCAAAGATACCGAGTACTTTGAATGGTCGTTGATTTACCTCGTGGATTAAAACGTGTGAAGCTGTATATGCGCGATACAAGCAATATCGACAAAAGTATTTACAAAAAGTATAGTTTTCAGTTATGTGGTTGGTGTAACGGCCAATGCTTTTCGCACTAAACTGCTTGAAACAATACATGCATTGCATAAACTGATTAACAATTCTCCGGTTATCTGAAATGATATAATATAATGACTATATAATAATATATTAAAATGTCAAACGTGTTCCAACGGGCACGTCAAACGCCAATGAGAATAAGTACACTTAATATATACACATAAATAACCAGAATTACTCCAAAAACTAAAAAAATAATCTAGGATACGTGAAATGTTTAACAATAAATTATGTTGGACTTTAATACTGCAGTGGTTTTAAAAATGTTAACTTACTTGAGTGATATATGCCTTAAATTATTATAATATTCTATATTTTAAACTATCGTTCACATACTGTTCGTATATTTAACCAAAAAAA